AGAGCCAAATCTTTCCTCTGCCCTCTTTAAACATGGAACTTGTCCATACTTGTCCATACAGGAGCTGCAGTAAACAACTTTTAAAACCCTGTCTTCTTGTGAATGATTTTTACAAGAACACAAGGAAAGCCCCTTTTTTCTAGTTGGTAAAACCTGCTTTAAGGGACCAAGAGAAATCTGTGTGACATAGGTGGCCTTTTCATACAGGTGAAGTAGAAATGCACTCCCATGGTTTGGGGATAACTGAGGGGGAAGGCCTCTTCAGACGAGAGACTGCCTAACAAGAGTGTACAGGTTTCACTGCAGAGAGACGATATCCAGCAGTCTGATAAAAGGAAGGAAAATATAATTTAAAAAAGGTCAGATTTGCAGCTGTCATCTTCTGTGCAGCTCATCTGAGCTGGATCCCTCTGGCTGCTCTTGTATGTTGGTAGGCAGTTGTTTTTCCATCAGACGGTATCCCTGTTCTCCTACCTGCAGTCCACTTGCCCTCTCAGAATTGCTAGCCTCCTTTTCTCTTTGCCACAAGATCTGTCTTCATCTGTCAGACTCTTCCTCCTGCTCTCAATATTCTCTCTGCCTCTCACATCTATCCAGAGGATTAGTCTTCTAGTCACACCCCCTCTGTCACAATCTCCTTACTCATGCCGGTGCCTGTTTAGCTCTTGCTAGCTTCAAAGACTCAGTTGCTCTTTCCTCTTGATGTCTATGTTGCTTTCACTCTACATCCTGATTGGCTGAAGGAACGTGTGACTAAATTGTTATTGAAACCACCACTCCAACCAAGACTGGTGGTTGTCAACTGAAGGGTAAGGCTCAGTTCTTTTGAAAAACTGAAACCTCACAAATCTCCAGTGGCTTTGGAATTTTAAAAGCTAAGTCCATCCATCTCTTATTTAACGTGTCAAATAAAGAACAAACGGTCCTTTGTGAAAGATCAATAAATGTCATTCGATGTCTGCGCATGTGGCTGTTTATAAGCAATAATTGTATGATTCTAGATGCAAAAAGCACCATGCCATCAACTCCAAAGGCATTGGAATATAGCCTAAAGTGAAGGGATGCAATATCGATAAAGGCTCCTCTGATCGTAGGCTTTCTGATCCACTCAGATGGTGTCCCTTTGGAAACAGACTGTGAACTTGTAAGGGAATGAATAAACATCCTGCATTACAGAGAGACACATGGTCGTTTTCGAGTATTGCCAATGTGTATCATGATGACATATGTTCATCTCCAGATTGGGCTATGAGACATCTGTAAGACTAAGACAAATAAAGCAGTGTCAAGGTGAGGTAACAACCCTCCTTTAGTTTGTGTCAAAAAGTAGGTCTGAAAACAAAAATCTCAGATTTCTCTTGTACACAGAGAAGGGAAGAATACACTTTACACTTAGGCAGGTCATAGAATCATAGAATATCAGGGTTGGAAGAGACCTCAGGAGGTCATCTAGTCCAACCCCCTGCTCAAAGCAGGACCAATCCCCCATAGTTGCCCCAGATCCCTAAATGGCCCCCCTCAAGGATTGAACTCACAACCCTGGGATTAGCAGGCCAATGCTCAAACCACTGAGCTATCCCTCCCCCCAAGGTCCTTTCATCCTGATAGCATTTAATGTTCTGTACTTGACTTCAGTGGAGCTGTCTCAATTTATACCATTGGAGAGCCTGTCCCATTATATCTAGGGTGCTCTTTGACCACCATAAAACACAGCTGCCTCTGTGGTGAAATGAGGCAATGAGCAGTGCACAGCAACAGTGGCCAAGCACTGAGTCAGAGGGAACAATTCTGTACGCAAATTCAGGCTGTTGATGGACCTGATGGCTGCTTCACTGCTATGAGCTGGTGAGGAATTCCATATAGATTTTACACCATAGTCAACACTGTAGCATCTGAGCACCTCTCTGAGGAAGGGGCAGGATTCTGGGAACCCACTCAGGGCACCATGTGAACTGTTCAGGGACTTCCTGTCCCATAGCACTGGGAGCACATTTGTTGATGGGGAAGGGGAGGCCAGGGGAAAGGCCAATGGAACTGCGCTATGCAGATATTCTGATTACTCCGCCCATACAGAGTCTAGTACAGCTTTAAAGTGCAGGGATAGCATACGATTATTTCCTCTTCTGTCCTCCCACAGCTCTCCCTAGAACTTAGCCATCTATTAGGCTTCTGTACTGGGGAGTGCATTAGTTCCAAAGAAACTAATGCAAGCATCAGTATAGTCTCTCAAGGGAAGCCCCATTATTTGGAACATTTAAAAGTAGGCTAGATAAAACAGTGGAAATTAGCAATAGGAAACAGAAGGACAAACAAATTTTCTCAGCCTCTTGATTCTATGGATCTCACACTTGTAAATTAAAAGTCAATGGAGTCAGGTAAGTAAACACAGTGTGTCAAGCTCTACGACTCTACCACTGCAGCTTTGCCAAGACATTGCACCTTTGTCATCTCCTTTTGTATGTTTCTTTGCTGATAAACCTAGATTATGTCTGAAATGGTGAGTCATACTTTTCAGTCCCTTTTGATGTATTATTCCTACAGGGAAGATTTCAGGAACAACCTCTTCTCTTTCTGCACCTAATGAGAGATATGTCTCCTCATTAGTCCTATTGCTGTAGCACAAGAAGAAAATTACACTATAAACAAAGTCAAATGCAAAATGTGGAAAAACAAGGCAGAGATGTATCAACAAGGCTGTGGATTTTATGTCCTCATACATTACGCTATTTTTTGTGTGTACTTTTGATGGCATTTGGGCAAGCCATTTCCAAAGGTCCCTTTTTAAAGGGACACAATTTAAAAATCATACTGGAAAATGTTACCCTGCTTTCATTTAACATTACATTTCGGATGACAGTACCTGAAAGAGTATATTGGGTGAAAGAGTCCCTCTATTTTTTCCAGTTTTTTTAATTTGTGGCACTTAACAGAACTGTGTGGGTGTGTAGTCAGCTGGGTCCCAGTCCATGAAAAACTTAACACACATGAGCAATCCCGTAGAAATTACTAAAACTAGTCACAGCTGTAAAGTAACTGGTGTAAAAACAACAAGGAGTCCGGTGGCACCTTAAAGACTAACAGATTTATTTGGTTTCAGAGTAACAGCCGTGTTAGTCTATATTCGCAAAAAGAAAAGGAGTACTTGTGGCACCTTAGAGACTAACCAATTTATTTGGGCATAAGCTTTCGTGGGTAAAAAACCACTTCTTCAGATGCTGAACATCACATGTGTTCGTTTCTGCATGACCAGGGCAATTGCCCCTTGCTGTTTGTGCTATCAAGCTGAAGTAAATTAAAGCACATTTTTAAAAAAACTGATGGAACCATCATGATATGCATGTCTTTATTGAATAACCACAAGATCTTACTATTCTCCCCAACTATAGTTTATTTCCTTCTTATATCTAACTCTACATTACTCACTATCTTATATCTAAATCTACATTTTCAGGTCTTTTGGGCAGACTGTATCTTTGGCTCTGTAAACCACTCAGCACACTTCTGTGCACCTACTAATAAAAATGCTATTTCATTCATTTAGCCATGGTATAAGCCTACATTAGGTATGCTTTAGAATTCATTGTGAAAATGTTAGCTTCCACATTGGGGCAATCTCCAAAACACAGCTTTTGTTTACTGAGTTACAATCTGATCCTGTGAGATGCTCAGCATGTAGGACAAGCAATGCTTCTGAATGGCCTTTCAGGCCCAGAACCCTCAAAGTACAGGCTTAATTTTATCCATCTGAGTAGTCCTATCAATTTCAGTGGGAATATTCACATGCTTAATATTGAGCATGTTCTTGCCTGATCCAATGCCCATTGAAGTCGACGGAATTCTTTCCATTGACTTTGATGGGCAGTAGATTGGACCCTAAATGCTTTGGTGGATCAAGACCTCATTCTCTGGATGAAGAAAGAATGCCCCAATACAATCAGGTAACTTAAGCTCTATCTCCATAAATGCCCCAGTATACCATCATCTGACCTACTCACATACCATACCTAGCTTTTCCGCAACGCATTGAACTCCACCTAGCTTATCTACTAAAAATATGGCTAAATACTTTCCTAATTAAACATACCATGTACTATTCATTGTCCTGTATATAGAGAAAGCCAAGTGTGGTATCAACTGGGAGTATAACACAAGGGGATTGGCACAGTTAATTTTTCAAGTGCTTGGGATGAGCTCCACTTTGCTCTTCCACATATGTTATGTGGCACATCCCTAACTCATAGGAGTAAATTACTTATTCCATCCCTGCCGACCTACGTAGCCCATATTTCAGCAGTGTGGAGACAGTGCCAATACTATAATTAATATTGAGTTGGTGTTTCCATTTTACAGGTGTAAACCCTGATTTTTGCATTTATCACCTCATCCAGGGCCTTTTCAATTCATAACTCAGAGTTGGGACTTAACAGACAGGCAGAGCAGTAGTAAATCCTGTTTGCCTCCCCCCCTCCCCTTCTTTAAATGTAATTGACTTGTTTGGCAAGTTTGAAAACAAAATCCTCCCCCTTCCATGCCCCCTGCTATGACAATCTGTTCCCCTTTCACTAGGAAGGCCAAGCCGGGTCTCTTTCGCATACTGTTGGCTTTTGGAGAAGAGCTCTCCAGGATGAGTGGCAGAATTTTCTCACTCTAGGACCCTGCTTCTGGGTCCAACAACTGATCCAATCTGGTGGCCTGCAAGGTCATAGTGCAAATAATCGCGTCAGTTTAATCAAGCTTTTGGAGGTCCGATCCTGCTCCCACTGACTTCAGTGGCTGCTGGATCAGGTCGTCGGGCTCAGCCCCTCCAAGTATTCAGGCGACTAACTCCCATAAGAGAGCGGGTCCTTGGTCACGGGGACGCTCCGCTACACTGGGAGGACACAACGCCTTTGTGGTGGTTTAACGTAACCCCACCAGGACGCTGCCTGATGCCAGAAAATCTTATTACCCCGCAGCAGAGCTCAGCAGCAGGGCCGGTGTCTGGAGCGGGTCTCCCCGCCAGTGGAAGGGGGGGTCCCTGCGGGAAAGCCTGCCCAGCCTGCCCTGACGGGGAAAAGCAGCGGTCGGGCACCGCAGCGACGCCCACCCTCCCTGCAGGCTGAGCCATGCCTCCCGCTGCACGCCCGGGGCTCGCCGCCAGCCCCCTGCCGGCCACTCGCGGCCCGCTGCCGAGCTGCAGGCACGCGGCTCCCGGGGCGAGAGCAACGAGCGGGGGCTATTGTTCGCTTTTGTGTGAAGGGCGGGGGGAGGCTGGTGCACGCCCAGCCCCGGCCCTAGGAAGGCGGGGTGGCGGCCGGGGGGACGCACAGTCAGGGGAGGGGGAGGCAGGCGCCCAGCGGCACTTGCCAGGCACCCCCGGCGCTGGGCACGGGAACCCCGCGGTGAGCCCAGGCCGGCGAGCAGCAGCCTTGCAGCAGGGCCGCCGCGCCCCCGCCTCTCGCTGCCTTGCTGGGAGCAGCCATGTGTGCGCGCCATGTGCTGCGGGCGGCCGGGCGGGCGCGCTTGCTGCCGATGACAATCCCGGGCGCAGCAGGTGCGGGAGGGCGGGGGGAGCCCGCGGGGGCGCGGAAGACACACGGCCGCTGATGCTGGGCGAGAGGAGGCTGAGCATCTCTGCCCCTCCATGTGCTGACGGAACAGCAGCAGGAGAAGGACAACCCAATGGAGTACAATCACATCTACGTCCACAACGGCTCCCTCCTGGCTCACCACAAGTATGGCTGTGGCTTGGGATATGTACCTGTCATATACTACAGCTTGCTGCTCTGCCTCGGGCTGCCAGGTGAGTGCCACCCTCTGCCCGGCTCTCCGGCGGCACCCCAAAGGCTCTGCCCGGCCCCAGAGGATCGCCCTTAAGAGACGAGGTTTGCCTCAGTCGGTGCATTTTAAAAGCAGAGCCGTGACCTTTTGTTTAGGAGCAACCGACTTATCCTGACATCTGAACTCAGCCAGCAAGTGGAGAAAGTTTTTAGTCTTTAAGGAAAGACTCCGAGGGATGGAGCGGAATTATTCTGTCTCCAAATCATTTTAGAATAAAAAGCAAACAGTCTTGGAGCCACTTACGCTGGAAGACAGTTGGAGGGGGGGTGTTGCACGTGTATATAGTTATAGGTCAACGGTTAGAAAAAGACTCATTCAAAATCAAGTCCTGTTTGCAGTATATGTTCACTGAGACCCGTTTTTTTAAATGACATGTCCAAGGTCCCCACTGCACAGAGCTCCAAGAAAATTCTGATTTTAAGAGACTTTGGCTGTTTGCAATACAGGAGTACTTTCTTATTGGCTCACTTTCGTTGGTACAGTAAAACGGTACATATTCTCACGGATAAATGTGTGTGTGTAGAGGAGCAAGGCATTGTTCTACTGTTAATACCTTTATATTAAGGACAGGGATCTTTACAGATCCAAATATACAAGACAATAATTCTGCTTTTGGATGGGATTTCGGGTTAGGTGCTTGTTTTACATTATTGGGCAAACCTTCTCTCTGTCTAGACAAATAACAACAGTCTCTTCCTAACATTGTTGCTAAAACTTTAGAAAAACTCCAGGCATTATCTTTAAAAAAAGAGGTGGTAAAATTCTAATTAAAGTTAAATATTGTAGTGTGTGATGGGTGTGGAACTTTTAATTTTTAAACACACTGGAAGCTTGTTTTATTAACCTATGTGGATTAACACAAGACATTTCTTAGATGATATACTTATTAGGATATGTATTTTACATGTATACTTCTAGGTAATGTTTTTTCTCTGCTCTTTAATGAGAGGTCTGTCTTCTTCTCTTTAATGAGGGGGGAGAGGGATTAGCAAACAGTTCCACTGCTTATAATGCACCTGTACAAGTGCTCTCTGGTTCAGAACCAGACATACATCGTCTCAGTTCTTAATCAAGTTTCCAAAATAATTAATTTGGCCATTTCAAGTAGAATGGTATTGAGGACTGGAGGGTTCAGGGGATTGGCATTGGGACATGAAGTCATGTACCTGTACGCTGCCTGCCCATGTGAGGAGTAATCAAAAATTGTTACTGTCAGATTGCTGCTGGCTCATCTCAGACCAGCTCCCAGTGGACAAGGGTAGCTTTAGGAACAAGGTATCTCAGATTCCACACATGAGCAAGGAACTGTGACTCCACAGGATTCCACTGAAGAAAGTAGCTGGTCAGCTAGAAAACCAGCATGCTCCAGGAGCCCATCCCTATAGCCTGGGCAGCAAGTTAAAGAGTCTAGTCAGGCCCACATGACCCACTGGTCCAGGGGTCTGATCCCTCACTCACTGAAGTCAATGGCAGTACTCCACTCATTTCCTATGAGTGCAGGTGTGAGCATCAAAAGCTCATCCCAAGAATATAGACCAGAGGCCAGCTAGCCAGAAAACAAGTTCTCCCGCAGAGAAGGGGAAAAGATGAGACAAGTGACATCAGGAGACGGGAAAGAGAGGAGGGGCTCCTTGTTTAACCAGGAAAGGTTAACCAGTCTGTCTCTAGAATATCAGTATACCTGGAGCCTGCACTGCCATTAGACAGCGCAAAACCCACCACTGCCACAACTGATTCGGATTGGTATGTTTGTCCCAGCACAGGGCAAGCACTGAGTAAGCTGTGGAGACTGCACTTTCTCACTCCTAGAAGTGGTCACGTCAGGTCATCACTCAGACATTTTGGTAGGGAAGACAGTCTGTGCTATACCAGTTCTATGGCTAAACAAAGGGCTTCGGTATCCAAGACTCCCAGCACTACATGCAGAGAAAACCCATGGTTTAAAAACTACTATTTAAAAATATCTTTAGTAAGGATTCCTCTTGACAAGCAAGAATAGAGGGAAATGTTAGAACATTTTTATTTGTCAAGATGAATCAATATTTTTGATAATGCAATATATAGTTATATACATACAAAGGTGCATTTAAAACATCTTGTAAATGGCAAGCAGCACTGATAAGATCTTAACAGATTTCTAAATGCTTTTTTTCACCTTAGCTGCTCTTGTTTAGAAAATTATATTCTTCAAGCCATTAGTTCATAAAAATGTTCGAATCAAACAGTGAGAGCCCTGTGTCTGAACAGTGGCTACAATACATATACAGTTGGTACCCAGCACATGAATTTAATTCACTGTGCCTTTTTTTCTTCTCTATAAGTAAATTCTGGTGCATGGCAAATCATTAAGAGAACTGCACAGTTAAGTCCTGTATTTAGCCACAAAGCATGTAAAGCACAGGCAAGCCTCTCCACTCTGTAGCCACGCTGTGCCTCAGCCCTGACTTAAAGGGACCCCACCAGCCAGGGAGAAAAGGTACCGTTTCCATGCTCATTCATTCCTTGGCCTCTGTGCCATGGCAGTCAACAATGATGCCATTGTGGACTCTGATACTGATAGGATACTGATTGGTCCAATAGGAAGTGACCTATACCACCTTAAGAATATACGAGTAGGAGGTTATTAGGAAGCAATGAGGTGCTACATCTACCTAAAATTGGGAAGATCCTTCATGCAGACACTAGGAAATCAGTTAATGAATGTTCTGCCTATACTTACATAACTGCAGATGTAGAATACATTCTAATTACGAACCTGCTGTGATCCACCCGGGAATGTACGGTTAGAGTTAGTGCAAGGGTGATGGGCAAGGGTGATGTGAATTTTTCCTGGAACATACATCCATTTGATTAGGAAAAATGGCACTGACAATAGTAAAACAAAACAAAATAAAAAAAAACAACAGAACAACTTAGAATCATAGAATCATAGAATAACAGAGTTGGAAGGGACCTCTGGAGGCCATCTAGTCCAACCCCCTGCCCAGAGCAGGACCAATCCCAACTAAATCATCCCAGCCAGGGCTTTGTCAAGCCTGACCTTAAAAACTTCTGAGGAAGGGGATTCCACCACCTCCCTAGGTAACGCATTCCAGTGTTTCACCACCCTCCTAGTGAAAAAGTTTTTCCTAATATCCAACCTAAACCTCCCCCACTGCAACTTGAGACCTAGGTGACCTCTTGATACTGATACCTAGAAACTTGATACTACAAGCCAAAATGATGCCTGATGTAACTCCAGTGAGTTCAGAGGAGTTGTATCATGGATACATTTGGCTTACCTTATTCAGTATATGTTATCTGAGGATAACACTGACATTAACATCCAAGAGAACTGTACATATATGGCATGCTGAGTGCATAAGAAATTCATGGAGTTCATTCTGGTATTACACTGGTGCTTTTAAAAAATACTCTAGGGGTATCTGAGTCTCCTTGCCTAAATGATAAAGACCCCGAGGTTCCCTGGATTGAGCTAGTTTTTTGTAATTCTGAGAACTTGAAAGAGAGGAGGATCTAGGTTCTGGCCTCACACACAGATATAGTGTCTGTGCAATACCTTGTTGAAATGCAAAAGGTTAACTGTTTGCCACTATTTTTAAAGGTGTGATAAAATCATTTTATTATTGTTTGGATTTTTTGTCCTACTGTAAAAAGGAAATGTCTTCAGCTCAACAGCTTTGCATGGAGACTGCATTGTACAGCATGGATGCACACAGCATGCAGAGGGAGTAAAAGAAGCTATATCCCCTCACTTGTATGGCCCAGGCATAATTGCTGCCCCTGCTTTCAGGACAGCTCAGGGATTGCTTCCTCCCTATCCTCCTAGGGGTTCGGAGAGTGCCGAAGAGGGAGGGAGAACAGGGACATGACCTCATCATACTGCCCCTCCCCCCGATTGGCCTGTGGAGAGTAACTGGCACACTAGGAGGAATGAGCTATGCTGCACCCCCATAAAGAGGTATGGCACCAGATGTGCTGCTCCTGTATGCCAGAGAGCCATCCCTCTGGAGGTACCCCAACGCAGGGTGGCTGCACACCACCCAAATGCAGATTTGTTCCTTAGAGGCACAGATGAGCCCTGAGGGAAGAGGAAACCTGGTTAAACATGGATGGCCGAAGGTTAAGTTATGCTTCCTGCAATATACTTTTGCAGGCTATTCTAACTTGGGGATAGATGCTACAGACCCTCATTCTCACTAGGTAACATCTTATCACATGAGTAATTAGGCCCAGTAACAGGAGCAAGGCTTACAGAAGCAGGCCCTTGATCTGCAGAATCCAGCCTCTCAATGCAGAAAGCAAGAAAATGTGTGTCTGGCAGGAGCAGAGTGCACAAAGGCTGCTGGAAATGTAGGTACAGTAACTCCTCGCTTAACGTTGTAGTTATGTTCCTGAAAAAATGCGACTTTAAGCAAAACAATGTTAAGCGAATCCAATTTCCCCATAAGAATTAATGTAAATGGGGGGGGGTTAGGTTCCAGGGAAATTTTTTTCATCAGACAAAAGACTATATTACATATATATATATATATAAAATGTGTGTGTGTGTATAGTATAAGTTTTAAACAATTTAATACTGTACACAGCAATGATGATTGTGAAGCTTGGTTGAGGTGGTGGAGTCAGAGGGTGGGATATTTCCTGGGGAATGCCTTAGTGCTGAATGATGAACTAGCACTCAGCTGAGCCCTCAAGGGTTAACACATTGTTGTTAATGTAGCCTCACACTCTACAATGCAGCACAAATGGAGGGAGGGGTGACAGCATGGCAGACAGAGACACATACCCTGCGTGTGGGAGAGAGAGAGAGAGACGCACATTGCCCCTTTAAGTATGCTGACCGCACTCTAAGTGAAGTTGCCTTTTTAAGTAGATCAGGAAGTTGAGACAGCAGCTGCTACCAGCAAGCTCCCTCCGTCCTGAGCCCTGTCGTGTCCGCCCCTGCTCTATGGAGAAGGG